GATAAAGCTATCTCTAGGTCAATGCCCCTCAGGGAAGAATTATTCTAACCTCATCTGAAATTCAACTTCACTCAAAACTGCACTAGATTTCTTATCTCATCTAAACAAGCGTTCGATTCACTTAGCTAGAAAGGACCTATTCGTCAGGTAATTGCCCCTATTCGGGTGGACTCTTACATACATACCTTAACCAGGATATTGCGATTATAGAAAATGTAGTACCCAACACAGGGTCCCACCTGGAAACTGGCGAATGCAAATACTGAAATGCTGAAATATTTGAACTATCTGTTAGCTAGTGGAGGCTCGACTCTTCTCAAGCTACAAATTATTGTGCGAAAATATTCTAAGTATTGGGCTCAGAATGAAACCGAAATTCTTATTATTTGATTTGTCTAGGTTCACTACTCAGCTTTAAAAATCATTTTAGGGATTTCTGAGCTGATTTTGAAATTTTTTTGTCTTGTCGCATTCTAGAGTTCTCTGAAATATTTCTAAGTCTGGACTATATATTGACTGAAATTACATTTGATTGGGCTAAAATCTGACTGAAATTTAACTAAAAGATAACTGGATATTAAATCTGACTGAAATTTATCTGACAGGTTCGAAAAAACTAGATTTTCGATTCACGCTCAAACCGAAGTTCCGAACTAAACACCCGAACCGCCTGGACTGGTTCGACTGAACTGGACTGACGGCTCACTCAGAGTCGGTCGATCATTCGCTTGAATTTGTGCAACTTGATTTTATCGTGGTCCGGGTTGGCCGTGGCAACTCGGGGCTGGCACCAACTCGACTGACACATCTTAGCCGATGCACGAGTTTAAAACTGTGCCACGGTCACTGGCGCAGGGGCATGCTTGGACCATGGCTAACGGAAAAGGCGCGTAGATGGTAGATCGGATTGACTCAGTGCACGGGCACGCACTCGGTGGTTTGGTTCCAACGGTCGGATGGTACGTGTAAGAATTAATGTTACGACGTGTAAAATTATTTAAATGATACTAGGGTTCAGTCGATTAATCTTGGATTCAAAAATTACCCGGTTATCGGAACCGGATAAAACTGGGGTTTGTGATTCTTGAAAATTCTAACTCATATTAAGTTAATATAAATCATATTCCTATGTGAGTTATACTGATTTATAATCAACAACTGCATCTAAAATCATATTCGGACAAATATCGTAACACAATTCAACTTTTAACCCATTCAACTAGCAATTGCATCGACCGGTCAAATTATTCAAAAATCTCGTTCGTCTATCAAACAAATTCTAAAAGTTTCTCGACTCGCATCTTAAGCCTCAAGACAACGCAACAAATTTTATATAATTTATTTTCTCATTTTATCGCATTTTTATAAAAAGCTCAAAAAATCCACTTCAAGCTCGAAAATCCCGATTTATTAAAAAAAATTGCTCAAATTCAATTCAACAAATTTATATCACCTAATTAAACATATCTATGCTCATGGAGAAGGGTTCAAGCATTTTTACCTAAAATCAGGCTCAAATCAGAGATCGGAAAGTCGAGAAGCTAAGAAAAAATGGTTCAAAGCTAAACTGGATAAAATTTGGGCTTAACCGCTCGAAAACCGGGTCAGCTTGTAACGCCCCAATCTTTTATTAATAAAGGAAAGATACTAGCTTTCGAGCATAAGCTAGCCTTTATTAATAAATGCTCGATATTTTTTTTCGATCCTAAGTTATTCATCTAGTTAAATTCCGAGTTCAACGATACGTCGAAAAAATTTCGGTTGATGTTATTTTATTAACCGACTGAAATTCTAGTAATTAATCTCAGTCCGTTATTTAATAAATAGACATTAGTAAGTTTGGGATTAGTTATTCCAGTATTGATGTATTAATCGAATTGAGAATATTCGAGAAATTGTCAAAGTTGAGTTTCGAGTCAATTATTAAGTTTTCGGTTTTAAGTTCCACAATTAGTCGAAAGAGTATTCAGTTTTATTCAGTGACTGAATAAGTTTCCAAATTGAATTCCGATTTTTTTATTTAATAAATGAGTTTGGGATTAATAAGTTCAAGCCGACGAATTATTCGAAGTTGAGATATTCAGATTAATCGTCGAAGTGGAGTCGCGACCGAAACTGAGCAAGTTCGGTCGAGTTATGTTCCAATTTCCTTAACTTAGCCAAGCTTATGTTTGATCTTAGAAAAATTTTCTAAGTATCTAATTATATATGTTCAAGAGAGAGAGAGAGAGAGAGAGAGAGAGAGAGAGTGTGAGAGAGAGAGAGAGAGAGAGAGAGAGAGAGTTTAAGAAGTGAAATTAATTCCTAGCACAAAGTCTAAGTCCATGCGCATGCACCTAAGCTCCAATTGTCGCGCCCAAGTCATGCACTGCATGTGCTAGGATCATTTTGTATTATTAATCTATATTATTTAGCTTGAATTATGATTATGCATTTCGCAAGTTTATTAGTAGGATTTTTGAGGTGATGACACCTCATGTAGTGATTAAGCTACTCAAATTGCCACTAAATGTCCATATAAGGACAAGTGTCTTCTTAAAATACCTTATTCAAATCTCAACCTCTTCATATTATTTATAAATAGTTAGTATGAGTTGGGAAGAGGAGTTTATCTCATTTTTTTAAGAATTCTCCTCATGTATTTAGCATAGCCGAGAGTGTGCATTAGAATTCATGAACCAAGCTAATTTTCATTTTAGCTAGGAGCACTAGCACACATCTAAGTTCAAGAGGTTCTTGGAGGTGAAAGTTTAGGAGGTGAAGAAGAATAACTCATTCAACGTCCGTAGGAGGAAGCATAGCACACGGGCGTACTGGGGAGACGCGAGTAGCAAGTATCTGGGACCTAGCACCGTATCATAAACCATTTAAGAGAGGTAAGCTTGTTAAATTATTTTCTAGTGATCATATGATAAGCCAAGGTTGATCATGAGTTAGTTGAGTTTGAATCCATTTGTGCGAAAGTGTTGGTTTCGTAGGCGCCATATAGGCCTTACCGAGCCATTTTTATTTTTAGTCGGAGTCTCCGGAAAGTTTTATTCAATTTTGGGCTTATTATATCATATGAATTGAGTTGAGTTGTTGTCGTTCGCATTAGTTACCGGACGGTTGGCAAGGCGACGGTCGTGGTGCCCTGCCCGCACAAAGCGTGCCCAGCACGCCCGACAGTAGACACGCAGGTGCCCAGTCAGTGTGCGCACCTAGTCGCGCGACACACGTAGGCGCAGGGCATGCCGACAGTGTTCGGCAGCGCGCAGTCAGTTCGTGTGCGTACCCAGTGCCAGTAGCGCCCAGCGAGAGAAGGCAGCGCCTAGCCAGCCTCGCCGCACACCTGTGCGCCCAGTCAATACGGTTGTGCCCAAACGCACGCCGGTAAGTCCAGGAGCACGCTAGCGTGCCCATGAGCGTGCCAGTGTGCCTAGTTGCCCTGTTCGTGGTGCCCAACAACACCTGATAGGTACTAGACGCGTAAGTGCTGGTGCCAGTGGCACCCGACAGCGTCTAGTCGCGCGTCCCTGTGCCAGTCAGCCCCAAGCGTGACTAGTAGCGCTGGAGTGACATTGTCCATGCTAAGGCCAATGCCGGTAGCGTTGGACAATGCGTGGCCATTTCCAGAAGAGCCAGTTGCCTCAGCCTGGTCAGTACTCATGCCAGCCGTGCCTGCAGCGCCGAGGGTGTACCCGGCATAGCCAATGACCGCACCAGGGCACCAGCAGGCCCTGCGCGGGATTGAGCCCGACCAGCCCAAGTCAGCGGCCGACCGCTCGGCTACAGCGAGCCGGCAGTCCGGCCAGCCAATGAACTGGCTGGTTTAGACTGGTTATTCAAGTTTGATTATTATTTATCCTTCCAGTTCGAGTTTGTTCTGGAATTTCTAATATTTTTTCCGAGCCAGTCAACCAGTAAAGTTTTATCAGTTATGTCCGGATATAATATAAGTGTTGTGGAACCCTTAAAATGTTCCATTTTATCCGGATAGATTGGCAGTTAGAGTCAAGCATTATAGCCTCAGTTTGAGTATATTTGAGCATAGTACTTAGAATATTTATTTGCTTATATTTTTACAATTTCAGCAGTCAGCAGTTCAGTCCAGCACTTACATTTCAGTTCGAGCATGTAATACCCCATTTGAATAAGGATTGTTTGAGATTTTTGTTTATTATTGTTATTATTTGTTATTAATTAATGTATAATTGCAAAATTATTTGTCTAAGTGCTTAATGTTTATAATTAAATATTATCGTTATTTATATTAAGGCTATGTTTGGTTCAAAGGAGGGGAGGGGAGGGGAGGGAATTTAATGGAGGGGAGGG